AGCTCGCTGTTAGCGTGCACTACATAAGGTCCACAGCGAGCTGAAGATGTGGAGAGGGGCTTGGAGCGCGTCGCAGAACCAGAGCGCATGCGGGAAGGTTCCTCCCACTGAAGTGAGAGTTTTCCACACCCTGTCGCTCAGAGAGACTTGTCACTTAGAAAATGTTCCCTGATGATGAAACTTTGGCTGAATAGTAATTGTTCCTGTCTCCAATGTGGCGACACATCCAGGAGCCGCCTGAGGAGAATCCCAGAATCTCACATCCTCTTCAGCTCAGGAAGCGCCTATATGATTACGTACAAGCGTGACGCGTCAACCCGGTCTCACAGTAAGACCGGGTTGGACCTGTTCAGGTTTACGCAGACAATCTTTACATTTAGAATTGACTTATAGACATAAAATTAATGCAGTAAAATATAAAGCATTTTATTTAAATATCCATTCATTATTTTACAAGCACAGAGAGCCGCATCAGATGGATGGAAGAGCCGCATGCAGCTCCAGAGCCGCAGGTTGCCGACCCCTGAGCTAGGGTATGTGCGGAGGACACACACACGCACACACACACATACACAAGCAAAATATACTTGTTTTCAATAGGGCTGCAACAACGAATCGATAAATTCGATGAAAATCGATTACTAAAAGCGTTGGCAACGAATTGCGTCATCGATTCGTTGTGTCGCACAACTCTTCCAAAAGCGCCCCCCCTTCCCGCCCACCGTTGCGTGCAGACAGATCAGCGCGAAGGAGAGCCGGCAGTTGTTTGGAAGAGGAACATGGCAGAAGCAGCGAGAGTCAAAAAAGTAAAAACTTTTTAAGTTTGGGAGCATTTTCAGTTAAATCAGGCGAAGACATTCGTTACCTGCAACGTTTAGGTCAGACTTGGCATGGCACGGGATGATGCAGCGTCTTAAACGCAAGCATGTCGGGATCATCAGCGAGGAAGGAGAGAACTCTGTGTCCGGGTAAATTAAAAACTTTTCAAAAGTGATTCATCCAAGTCCCGGATTATTACACAGGCTAGACATGCCCTAAGCTCGTAAAACAAGAGTCTAAAGTCGTGAGCGCGACGCTTATTAGATGAGCGGGGGGACTCGCGCTGCTGCGAACCGGTTCCGCCCAAGGCCGGATTAACTGGGCAATTGCCCAGGGCCCACGAACTCTAAAGGGCCCAGGGCACGAGCAAATTACTGTATCTATAATTTCCCGCTTTATGAGGACTATGGTGACCGTACGTTCTGTTTTCCCGGACGTGTCCACTTTTCACTCTGTCCGGCGCGTCGGGACTGCGGGTTCTTGTATTGATGAAAATGTCCGGCTTTTCATCCAGGAGCAGGGATCGAATTATGGGGGAAATGGATATCCTACACATCCAGGGAGCCGGAAAAAGTTTTCTATATTATATCATTTTTGGACTCTTTTAGCAGAGAGCGGCACAGCGCATTGTTGTGCAGCGATCCAGGCAGCTGCTTCCGGCGCACGGTCCATTCTCAAAGTGGCGCAACCAAAAAACTATAATTAGCACACAATCGTTCATGTCTGCACATGTTGTCTATTTTCTGTCTTATTTGTGCCTGAAGCGCTCTGCTACTGCGGAGCTCATCACCTGTGCTGCGGTGATTTCACCTCACGCAGCATCGAAAACGCGCTCTGCGCTTTACAGTCAGGAGATCCCTTTGATCTGCTCAAAAGTAACTGATGAGGTGAAAAAGTAAGAATCCAGACAGCAGATTTTCTGGAGAATTAAGAGGAGATGCAGGAAGATGAGAGACAGACAGGACAGGAAAATAGTTCAATAAAAACAAGAAAACAAAACTAAGTGTTGAAAAGTAAAATGTAGGTAGATTTATCTCCACTACACGTTTTTACCTATAAAACAATAAGTTACACACATGTAATATTTATACATTTGATACTATTCAGATCACCTTCAACACTCAGTCACACACCCAGGGCCGTTTCAAGACATTTTGGGGGCCAAGGCGAAATGCCCCCCCCCCCCCCCCCCCCCATAACTGGGCTCCCCAGAAGCCTCTGTGTAATTCATGCCCTCTCCAGGAGTGTTAGTTATACAGTATTTGTAAAAGCCCCTCAGACATCACTGACATGTTCTAATATTATCAGATGAAAAACTAAATTATCAGACATGCTGTCTCATCTGCTGCTTTTCTAAACTTGCAAAAAGTAACAAAACCATTTGAAAGCCACTATTTGTGGACTCTCTGAAAGTTTCCATGGAGTGTGTGACAACTTATTTTTTCAGTCATTTTTGGAAATAGTGATCAATTTTGATTAATTCACAGCCTATGTTTAATTACATTTAAAAATTAGTTGTTTGACATCCCCAGTTATAATAAATGTCTACAGATGAGATCAAACAAAACAGATGAGAATTGCCCTAAAGCTGTTTAACTTGGACCAAGCATTTTAGGTCACAGATAGATGTAGCTTAGGGTCTCTGTCTATACACCTTATAAGACAATTTAGGTGATGGCATGTTGTTTTTCTGCTATTGAACTGTTTTCTAATAATGTTGTGTTAAATAAAGTGAAGGAAGGAGAGAAATAACATTTCCCTAGCAGTTTTTAAAAATTTCCCCATGTGATCCGATTAATCGATTAATCGTGTCGAGACCCCATCCGATTAATCGATTATCCAAATAATCGTTTGTTGCAGCCCTAGTTTTCAATTACATTTTCTTAGGCCCACTCACAAATGAGTTTCTGGCTGCGCTAATGGTGACTTTTGACAGACTTCTCTGAGCTCCGCAGCCATTACACTTTTCACCTCGCGCACCCCCTAGCGGCAGCTCGCGCGCACCACACTTTGGGAATCCCTGGTCTAACACACTGCTGCTAACCACTAAACATTCTCCCTCTCCTGATAATAACATTTTACTCTCTTTGACGTTGGATGTGCTACTACTAGTTTACCCGTTTAATTATAGATTCACTAGAATAAATACAATAAAGTTTATCTCTCACCTAATAGAATATTTACTAAGAAATCACAATGTAACCATAGAAACACTACTTGGTGTGTGTGTGTGTGTGTGTGTGTGTGTGTGTGTGTGTGTGTGTGTGTGTGTGTGTGTGTGTGTGTGTGTGTGTGTGTGTGTGTGTGTGTGTGTGTGTGTGTGTGTGTGTGTGTGTGTGTGTGTGTGTGTGTGTGTGTGTGTGTGTGTCTGCTCTGTCTTCTCGATCCCCAGTGAGTCGTGGAGGATGGCTGCTTATACTGAGCCAGGATTCTCTGGAGGTTTCTTCCTGTTAAAAGGGAGTTTTCCTCTCCACTGTCGCTGCATGCTTGCTTAGTATGAGGGTTGCTGTATAGTCACTGGCACTAGTCAGTGACTTGATGCAACCTGCTGGGTTCCTTATATAGGAAACATTATTTCTGATTGGCTTAATGAACTGACCTGTACTGGAATGTTTATTATGTGAAGTGACTTGAGACGACTCTTGTCGTGATTTGGCGCTTTATAAATAAACTTGAATGAATAGACATTTCATCAAGGGAAGGAAAAAGCATTTGGGCACAAACTACGCGATAACTTAAGAGTTAATGACGTGTTTTGACCCGCTCCAGACTAGTGAATTTCAAGGCAACAGCAGTGGTGATGTTCACATGTCCTCTCAGGTTAATATTGCAGGTAAATAATCAACTAACCCCGCCTATCTTGTTAGCATCATTGGTCGTGTATATACACCTCCACACTAGCAGACTGCAGCTACAAAGGTCTGACCTGTGGTGAGATTTTTCCCACTCTGCAAAAGCTGCAGCAACACGGCACCGAACGACCGAGATGACTGCCTTCACAGGGAGCATAAAGGAGAACATTTGGAAACAACTGATTATTTATCATAAATAAACAGACAGTAATAATGAAGGCTGTGTGCTATTAGTCTTTGGCCATCTATTGAACTACTCTGGAACTGATAAGGAATTGGATCGATTGAATCGACAATGCCGTTGATATTGATAAAACCGTATCATTCCCACCCCTACATTACAAAGCAAAAGACTGAATTCAGCTGCCAACCAAATGAGATCACAACACTAGTGGAACGACTAAAATAACGAATTAAACACAATCCTAAAAAAGTAAAACATGTGAGCAGTAGGGGCGGCATGACTTAATTTTTTTTAAAGTCGGCAGTCAAGTAATGAAAATCGAGTCGACTTTGACTAGTCGATGATGACGTCATACACCTGAAGTGTGTTGGTTCGTTGGAGTTTTTGACAATTAAAATTGCGTCCACAGTTTCTAAGTTAAACATCTCTTAACAACGGTAGTTTCTGCTTCAGCCCCCCCCCCTCCCCCCGCTTCGCCCCCCCCCCCCCCGCTTCAGCCCCCCCCCCCCCCCCCCCGCTTCGGCCCACTCCCCCCTCCCCCTGCTTCAGCCCCCTCCCCCCGCTTCGGCCCTCTCCCCCCTCCCCCTGCTTCAGCCCTCTCCCCCCCTCCCCCTGCTTCGGCCCTCTCCCCCCTCCCCCTGCTTCAGCCCTCTCCCCCCTCCCCCTGCTTCGGCCCTCTCCCCCTCCCTCGGCCCTCTCCCCCCCTCCCCCTGCTTCAGCCCTCTCCCCCCCTCCCCCTGCTTCGGCCCTCTCCCCCCTCCTCCTGCTTCGGCCCTCTCCCCCCTCCCCCTGCTTCAGCCCTCTCCCCCCTCCCCCTGCGCAGCGGCCGCAAACTCACTGATGCGCCTGCAGCCTCTCGGAGTTCCTGCTGCTCTAAACATTAAAATAATTATTTCATTTTCTGTTCCTCACTTCTGATTACCTTCAATGGTGTCTGTTTGTTGCAACCAGCAGGTACAAAACTAACTTGTTTTTATTTGACTATTTTTCTGTCCTGCCTGTTTATTATCTTCCAGCATCTCCTCTCAATCCTAAAGAGAAACTGCTACCTGGGTTCATATATATTCACACAGTTAGGCCCACAAGGTGATCAGCCACTGAGCACCACCACAAAAATGACCCAAAAGAACCAAGAGCCTTCTTACCTAAAGCAGGTGGTGCAGGTCAGACACTCCTCCAGCGTGCAAAGGTCGGGGGTCTGGCCACAGAAAGGGCAAGGCAGGGCCGGGTCACATGACTCACACAGAAACGGATGATTGGCCCACTGGCCTGATGACGTCACACCACAGCGGTGACAGACTCTGCAGTTCTGGGGAAGAGGGGTCAGTTCGTATCTGAACAGCTGCTGTGGTGGTGGGTGGGGGGGTGCTTCTCTCACCTTGCACGTCCAGCTGCTGCTTGGAACTGGCTCCAGAGGTGGTGTGAGACAGTGTGTGTGGTACGACTTGTCACAGCGCTCACACACCAGCAGCACGGCCTCATCATCCCGTAGCCTGAAACACACACCTGCAGGTTCAGAACTCCTGCAGTTCCACGTGTCAGAAACCGACCGGGTCATTCCCGAGGACCAGAACATTTCTCCCACATGTCCCTAAAGCCACTTGTTTGGTTCCAGTGGGCAACTGGTACTTCAGTTTTATCACAGGCCTCCAGGAGCATCACCTGATGCACTCACTCAGGTCTGTCCGACCAGGGGGCAAACCACTGTTCCTCCTGCTGAGGTCACTTCAGAATGAACAGGAAGTCTCGACATCCTTGCTGTGACAGACAGCTGTGTGTGGGTGTGGGTGTGTGTGTGTGTGTGTGTGTGTGTTACCTGCAGCTGCAACACACTCGACACTTGGGGCACTGCCAACCGGCCCGACTCAGGGAAGAGAGGGTCCGAGGGGGGTCCAGGCAGCTGCCATGATAATGGTTGCCACAGCAACAGCACATAATCAAGTTGATGGGCTCAGCGATGTCCGCACACAACACACACTCCAGTGAGCCTGCACACACACGAGAGGTTTGTGTGTTTCCACAGCAACATGGGATGATATCACAAGGCGTGGCCTGTACCTGTGTGTGCGTGTTTAGTACACAGTGTGTGCCTCTGGTTCCAGTCCTGATTAGCACCTGCAGCAGCAGCACAAGGGAAGTGGTAGCTCCGCCCACAACCTGCCTCCCGGCAACGCAGTGATGCTCCAAGCTGACGACAAAACGCACACACCTGCAGCGGTGTAAGAGAAGGCAGGGTTTAGAGGAGGTGATGCTCTCACATACCAGGGCTTGCTGGTCCAGAGCCTCACCTGAGTGCTTCCTGCATCAATGGCTTTGTCCACATAAAGCAGGGACTGGCCCTCGCCTTGGCGGACGCCCTCTGACCAGGCAGCACACTGCAGGTGAGCGCAACACTGACCTGAACACACAAAACATGAGGTTACACACACACGCACACACACAGGAGGAGCAGGAGCATCAGAAGGTACCTGTGGGGTCGAAGAGTGATTGGACGCTGATGTCATGAGGAAGGCCAATGGGTCCGAGCTGCTTTGTGAACTCTGAGGAAGACTCAGCCTCTGAAACACAACAGAAATGTCACACACACACACACACACACACACACACACACACACACACACACACACACACACACACACACACACACACACACACACACACACACACACACACACACACACACACACACACACACACAACTCACCACACTGTTCAGGACTGCTGCACCTGTAAACAAACATCAGCTGATCATTCACATATCTTCTTCTGGGGGTATCAAGACTATGTCAACAGGAAGTGGGATCACTCACGTGGGTGGGGCCTGGTTACCATGGTAACAGTGGTCGTGACAGTCATTGTCTTGGTCAGAGGAGGTGCGGCGGTTTAGTATGTGGAGCGGGATGTAGCCCGGCGTTGGGCCGAACACCACCAAGCGGCCCAGACCCAGAGCTGGCTCGTTGCCACGGTAACAGAAGGCACACTGCTTCAGTCTACAAGAAAACAGGTGAGGTGTCAGGTGATCAAAAACAGACCCACCTGAGCAGGTGACAGCCTGATCCCATTACCCCTCTGCTCACTGGCAACAATGTCATCTGTTACTATGGCAACAGTTTCTGACTGGTGTGTTCTTCCAGTGTTTCCCTTACACAGGCATAGCCGTGGCGGCCCACCACGGCTGAAATCCCAGCACCACGCCTGCAAGATCCTGTTTTATACATTTATTTTATTTGATTTATTTTTTTGCGCTGTTTCCCGAAGAAGCAGCGGGAACTACTCTGTTGTTGCTTGTGATCGCGGGCAGCAAGGAGGGGAGGCAGGGCAGGGTGGTTACAGCTAGGGATGAGCCGGTGTCGGTGCAGGATCGGCTCGGGGTCCTTCGACTGCCGATGATGTCAGAGTAGTTAATTGACTGAACATGAAGCTTACGGAAGTGATGTTACCACGTTATGATTTTGATTGGTCAGAACAAATTAGCGGTTGTAGTCCTGTAGTCCAAAAATCAACACTTTTTGTAGAAAATATGTTTGATTTTCTAAAGGAAATGTAAAATATAAGCAAATGATAAACGGTGACCCTCAGAAGCTCTTGATGTTGATGAAATGGGGCAAAATTAAATATAAGAACTTTATTGAAAGACACCAAGCGACATTTAGAGTCAAAGAATGTGTTTAGATAACAACTAAGGGAATATACAGACGAACTCCACATGAACACAAACAGACGTGGCTTCACATATAAGAACTGTTCTGGTGTTGTCAGTCCCATGTTGGTTTTATGCAGTTTCACATTCTTTACAAAACAAAGATAATATGGTGTTTTATTAACTAATTACAATTATAAAGGAAACATTTAGGTGTTAACAAACAAGAATTTATTAACTAAACTGCTGATGTCTTTCCTAAACGTGTGTGAAAGCCGAGTAGATTTGCAGTAATGCCACGTCAACGGCAGTCGAAGGACCCCGAGCCGATCCTGCACCGACACCGGATACTCATTTCAGACGAGTATCCGGTACGGATAAAGCATTTTTGACGAATACGAGCATGAAACGAGTAAAAGTCGTAAACATCTGTAATCGTGCTGAAGGAAAATCCTCACTGGGTAACTGACTGTCTTCACGCTCTGTGATTGGCCAGTCACATAGAGCGCCCGCCCCTCCCTACACACAAAAATCTGCTCCGGCCCACGCGCGCACACGCACACACACACACACACACACGCACGCACACACACACACACACACACACACACACACACACACACACACACACACACACACACACACACACACACACACACACACACACACACACACACACACACACACACACACACACACACACACACACACACACACACACACACACACACAAAGAGCCCTGCACGGGCCTAGAATCTGAGCCCCAGCCCAACCCGGTCCGAAAAGGTTTTCAGGATTCTCTGGCCCGACCCGAGCCTGACTTTTTTTTAACCTTTCATAATGTTTTGGCGTGATAGGACGCTCCGCGTTCTACTTACCTGTGAGAAGCGTTCTGCAGTAAAAAAACTAAATTAATTTAACAAAAATAAAAGACAGAAAAACAGCATCAGTGCAGCTTTTTTCTAACAGAGCGTATTTTTGGAACGGCAGATGAAATTTACGAACACTATATTAATTGGATGTGTTTGTAAAATGAATCTGCCGCTCTGAGAAAGTGCTCTCCGTTAGAAACAAACCAGCGATGAATGCTGTAATTTTTTAACTGCAGAGCAAATTTATTCACAGAAAAATAGAAACGCTGCCGTTTTCATGAGGATAAACGAACGTTTCTGACATCAGAGTGGACGTAACACGGCGTATTAGAACAGGGGCACGTGTTTCAGTCAGCAGTTAGAGAATTCCTTTATGTCGGCGCGTTTATAAACCACACACACCTTAACTGAGCTAACGGTGTGTGAGAAGCAGGCAGGTGCTGCTGCGTTCAAGTGTTTCAGTTTTTTTAATGAATTCAATTAAAAATAAAGGCGCCCGGCCCGGCCCGTGTCTGAGGTAATTACACAGTTGTTGGCCCGAAGCCCGGCCCGTGGGCCGACCCGACCCGAGGGCCTAAGGCTCCAGTGCAGGGCTCTAACACACACACACCTCTCACCGTTTTTTTGTGAGTCCCAGGCTGGGTGTGGGGGATCCCCCAGACTCCTCCGATGGGGACCGCTGGAACAGGGGGGACAGCGAGTCATCATCGTCCTCCAGTCGTAGACAGGGGGACACTGGAGGACTGGAATGGAGACTTGATGTTGGAATCTGCTCCGTTGGACGAGCTCCTGCCCCCTTGGTCTCCATAACAACACTGCTGACGCTGCAGCCCACCTCCATAATGGTGAGGTTGAGACTGGGACGGTCCTCCTCTGCTGGGTCAGGCTCTGGCCTGAGGTCCAGTGAGGGCGACGTGGGTAAGACCTCAGGGGTGGGGTCTGGGGGTAGGGCAGCAGGAGCAGGACTGGTTTTGTCCTCCTCAGAACCAGCAGCTGGTTCTGGGCTGTCCTCTGGGACTGCAGGTTCAGGATCCGGATCTGGGTCAGGCTGCAGAACGAGCCGGTCCTGGCTGCTCTCAGGGACCAGATCAGGGCCCGTTTGTGGCTTTGTCCTGGGGGTGGACCGGCGGCGTCCAGCTGCCTTCATGTCCTTTGGCCCTGCAGGAAAACACAAACCAGAACCTGAGGTCCCACTGGTCTTCTGTGATAGAACGTTACAGTGAACAGCACTGAAGTGCCTTGCCCAAGGACACGATGACAGAGACAGAGTGGGCGGAGCATGACCCTACACCCGTAGCCCCTAACACAATGCTGCTCATGTCCTGAGCTGGAACGTGAAGTCCAACTGAAAACAGGTGCGTCACTGTGGGTGGAGCTTGTTTCATACACACCTGTGTTTTGGGGCCGGCTCTTCTCCGAGGCACCTGTGCTCTCTTCATCCTTTACCTGCACTCCTCCACGGCTCCGCCCCCTGCAGGAACATATAGGGGTTACTGTTGGGTTATGGTTGGAGCTTCTAGTTCTGCTGTGGGACTAAAGCCCGAGCCATCCAGAACCCTCAGTCGCAATCAAAGTCAGGTTCTGGAGAACATCAGAAGAACGTCACCAAACAGAACCGTTCTTCAGATCAGAACCTCAGATCCTCATCTGTGCCCCAGACAAGCTGGTTCCCAAAGTCAGAGACTCTCTTGGTCAGCTTGCTTCCCACACCAAACCTTCTGTCAGGAATCTTGGCGTGACCTTTGACCCAGCTCTCACCCTGGATTCTCATGTCAGTTCTCTTGTTGGCTCTTCCTTCTTCCATCTCAGGAACGTTGCTAAGCTGAGTCCCATTCTGTCCCGCTCTGAACTTGAGACAGTTCTCCACACCTTCATCTCCTCACGCTTAGACTACTGTAGCTCTCTTTTCACGTGTCTGAGCAGAACCTCCCTGAACCGTCTACAGGTGGTTCAGAACGCCTGTGCTCGGCTTCTGACCAAGTCCTCCAAACACACCCACATCACCCTGCTTCTCCTCCAGCTTCACTGGCTGCCAGTCAACTTCAGGGTTCATTTCAAGATCCTGGTTCTGGTCTATAGGGCCTTACATGGACAAGCACCATCTTACATTGGTGATCTTCTTAGTCCCAACACCCCCAGCAGGTCCCTGAGGTCCAGTGATCAAAGCCTACTGGTTGTGCAGCACCAGGCTAAAGGTCAAAGATGACAGATGATTTGCTGCTGTGGCCCCCAGACTCTGGACCTCTCTCCCCCTGAGCCTGAGATCAGAGGACTCAGTGGTCTCCTTTAAACTCACCTGTTCTGGTTTGGTGGGACCTTCATCACCCTCTCCTCGTCTGCTCTTGTTGCGCCTTTCCCAGGATCCACTCGTTTCCCTCTTTCTCCCTTTTCTTACATTTTTAATCACTATTTTTATATTTCCTCATTTTAAACATTTTTTTAAAACTTTTTGACATTTTAAATTTAAAAGCGCCTCGTGGTTTCCATCTTGATGAAAGATGGTTTCCTGTCTGTTTCCTGAAAGGGACGAACAGGCGCTACACCTTTCAACAGAGACCGACTTCTCAGTTCTGAACCGTCTGACCCGGTTCTTCTGGGTCCTGACAGACAAGCAGATCATGTATGTACACAGAGATACCGGACGCTCTGCACAAGTCACATGACACTTACTTCTTCCTGGCTTTGGAAGGTGGGGGAAGAGGGGGAGGAGGACTGGGAGGAGCAAAGCGATCATTGCTTCCATCTTTCCGTGGCCTCCCGCGGGGTCGCCTCTCGGAGGCGGGGACTGCAGCTGCAGCTTTAGCCAGCTGGGCGTTACGTCCTGCCCGAGTGACAGGAGGGGGCGGTCCTCTGTCCCAAGGCTCCGCAGACTGAGGCTCAGATGGCATTCTGGGTAATAAAAGACACATCAAAGACTGATTAGTCTGTAGAAAGTTTGTAGAAACATTCCTAAAATCCTTCCCTCCAAAAAATCTAGAACCTTTGTACGAACGGTCAAAATCACGGTTCATGAGACACACTCGTTCTTCCGCACTCGTCTGATGACGAGTCCCACCTGTGCTACCCAGGTGCTCGTGTCCCTTCTCAGTCATCTACAAACAGAAACGCCCTCATTTAACCATATTTGGTCGTGCTGCATCCTGAGCTCGTGAGTGGGTTCCTGCGTTCTACCCAGAAAACAGAAAACGTTGTGAGGAGGAGACGCTGGCTGCTGAAGCTCAGAAGAACCAAACGAGTGTCGGAGGTGATGAACACGGTCGGGACAGAGGAGAGCTTCCTGTCAGGAATAAAGAAAAACTTGTCTGAGTGCAGCCTCTCGCTGTCATTCAGTCTGGTTACCGTGGCAACGCGTGTGTGTGATGGGGAGCAGAGGAGGTTCTGGGGGTTCTCCTGGTCATACAACAGAACATGGACCAGAATCGGATCTGTCGCTCCACAACGATCCCACTTCCCAGCATGGCTCCAGACGGATCTGCCGTCAGCGCTCACGGAGACGCGTTTCCTCCTGAGCAGCTCCGGCAGGTCCTTCATAAGAACATAGAAAGGTTCTTTTATCTAACGCGTCTGAGGCAGAAGCACGAGGAGTTTCACGAGGACACAAATATAACGGAAGAAAATAAAATTTACATCAAACGCGGGAAGAGATAAAATGTGATTACAACATTCCTGAAAGTCAGATTCCCGTTGTTTAGCTCCGGTCATGTGACTCAGCTGTTTATCCACCATGATATTTATTCACTGGGTCAAATAATTAGTGGATGAGGAACATGAAGACTGAGACCTTCGGTGTTCCTGTGGTTCCCCGTCCTACCACTAGATGTTTCTCCACATGGTCTGGAGTTTCTGATGTTTAGGAGCATTTCCACACACACACACACGTGTGTGTTAGACCTACACACACGTCTGTGTGTGAGCACGGCTGGCACATGAGGACCAGGAGAGGGAGGAGTCACAGACACCAGTCAACCTGCAGTTTTCTCACAAAGGAAACTTTACCAAATTAGAATAATTAACCTCAAATGTTTACTTTGTGAGGAGCCTGGAGATGCCTTTTGTTGGGATTTGGTGCAATATAAATAACTGATCATGGTGTCTCCTAGGGCTGGGGGTAAACGATTATTTTATCGAATAGTCGACTATTCTAATGACTATTTAGACAATTAATCTAATGATTATTTTTCTATTGCACAGTTAATAAAAACCAAAAAATATCTAATAAATTCCTCAAAAAAGTGATAAATTGTTACTGTAAGAGAATAAACACTACAGGCCTTCCATTTTGTATAACACTGCTTGTATTGTGTTGGTTGGTTGGTTATGTTCTGGTGACGTGTAGAACTTGGGAGTGCAGGCTGCTGCCTGAGAGGTGGTTGGAGACGGAGTGTCTCCATGCTGCTTTGTTTTGGTCACTTATGAGCGTGAGGCGAGTGGTGTTACGACCCTTCCTGGGGAGTTTGGCTCGTGTGCAAAAAGGAAGGGACAATAACGGGATTTAAAAGTTAAAATGATGATCAGGTTTATTTACAACCAGGGTCTGAAATTAACACTCGCCACTCGCCAAATGCGAGTAAATTGCTCCATTTGGCGAGTAAACTTTTGAGCTCTACCTGCCACCTGGCGAGTAAATGTTTGCACCAAATTAGTTATGTTTATCAGTCATCTTCCACGGATGTCTGATACTCCTCCCGCCTGCATGCAACGTACACAAACGTACGCGAAACGTGAACGCCGCATCCAACGTCATTTCCACCTATCCCATTCAATCAGTTTATCGAGTTAGCCGTTAGCTTCGTGTTAAAACTAGCGGTGAAATGTGGCGGTTTTTAACTGGAGTCAGCCAGCCTTCCAAAAGAAAACTCGTCGAACTGGAAGAAAAACCACCAGGACCAGTGGCAACCAGAAGATTTTGTGAAAAGTGGCGAACCGGAGACGGCGGAGTCGTGAGACAATGGCTACATTATGATGGCCGCGCAGATGTGTCATGAGATTTGAAGCGTTGCTGCCTTTCACAGACACTTTTTCTGCTCGTGCTGCAAACAGGATAGCCGTCTTCTATCAACTGTCCCTCGGCATTCTTCAGATATCCAAGAGATGTCCGTACTTCCCACTTTGTCTTCTTTGAGGGATAATAAATGTCCTGAGCGCTGCCGTCTCCTCCTTTGGCCATTATTTCAGCTTTAGCTTCAAGAAAGTTTTGGTTGTAAACAACAAAGTGCGCATGTGCCGCCGGCAACTTCAGCAGATGATACGGTGGCTGGTAAGGGTCACCGCGCCTACACCGCAGCCACGGTAATCCACCGAGATAATATATATTTTTTTTTAAAAACAAGACGGTTATTATTTATTGTCAACTTTTTTTACCGGGGTTTACCGCTACACCGGTCACCGTGACAACCCTAGCCCTGACACACTTCCAGATATTCTCATGGTGCAGCTGTGTTCTCCAGAGATCAAGAACTATGACCCAAATGAGGCTGTAATGCTTTGGCACAAAGACGATGTCAGAAGCAGGAGGCCAGACTTCATGGACAGAGAAAACAAGGAGTCTGACTAGATTTCAATGAAAGAGTTCATAAAAACATCTCTAAAAATAAATAAATAGTAAAAATGACAAAAGAGTTTTTTTCCTTATTAATTGATGTTTTAATTATTTTGTCACTCTGTTTGGAATCAACATAATATAGAATTACATGCTTTAGGTAGATCTAAATCATTTAGACTTTTGGCCGGTAAAAAATATGCTTGGCCGGTAGATTTTCATCATCTACCGGCCAACTTGGCCGGTGAGTAAAAAATTTAATTTCGGACCCTGTTTACAACTACAAAAAAACATAAATATTTCCATCCACAGGTTGGGAATAATAAAACTAATTCTGTCTGTGGGGAATTAAAACAAAAGTACAAATAACTAGGGATGTCCCACTGGGCAAAGATTACTGGGTTCTGGACCAAAATAAGGATCTCCAAAGGTCCAAACTCTAAACTGGGCGGTTAAACCAAACTCAAGGTGATGTTTTAAACTAAACTGAAAACCCACAACACTCTAAATGTAATAAAAGGGAGATCTGCACCACAAAAAAGATGAACTCTAAACTAAAACGTAACAGCTTATCCAAACGCAAGAAGCTGTTAGCGAAAATGCTAACAGTAGCTTTACCAACGTTAAGTTCAAGTTACCAAGTTTAAATAAACCAAAAACACCCAGCAGCAAACAGACCAGCACGGAGGAGAGACTGCTACCACCAAAACAGCTCTCCTCATGTCTGAAAGAAGCTCCTTTATGAAGGGAGAAGCGCTCCCGGTGATTTTCTACATCTGCAGTAGAGACGGAGCAGTGCATCTGACCCCGGAAGTTGTTGTCCGTTGCCGGGAGACGAAGGCGGGCAAAACAGGAAAAGAATCTAGTAGTGGACGGACGTTGTTCCGGGTCTTCGGTATTTGGCGGAGATGTTAGTGAAGGCGGAGAAGAAGGCGAACTAGAGGAAAAACAGGCAGATTCCTCCTCTATTTACAAATGTCGACAAATTTTTTAGAATCCAGCCGTCGACGTTATCGACGCTTCGCTACAGCTCTAGTGTCTCCTCCAGGACCCAAGAACCCCCTTAAACATCATGGTGTCTCCTCCAGGACCCTAGAACCCCCTTAAACATCATGGTGTCTCCTCCTAAACCCTAGAACCCCCTTAAACATCATGGTGTCTCCTCCAGGACCCTAGAACCCCCTTAAACATCATGGTGTCTCCTCCAGGACCCAAGAACCCCCTTAAACATCATGGTGTCTCCTCCTAAACCCTAGAACCCCCTTAAACATCATGGTGTCTCCTCCAGGACCCTAGAACCCCCTTAAACATGGTGTCTCCTCCGGGACCCTAGAACCCCCTTAAACATCATGGTGTCTCCTCCTAAACCCTAGAACCCCCTTAAACATCATGGTGTCTCCTCCAGGACCCTAGAACCCCCTTAAACATGGTGTCTCCTCCGGGACACTAGAACCCCCTTAAACATCATGGTGTCTCCTCCTAAACCCTAGAACCCCCTTAAACATCATGGTGTCTCCTCCGGGACCCTAGAACCCCCTTAAACATCATGGTGTCTCCTCCTAAACGCTAGAAGTTCCTTAAACATCATGGTGTCTCATTCTAAACCCTAGAACCTCCTTAAACATCGTGGTGTCTCCTCCGGGACCCTAGAACCCCCTTAAACATCATGGTGTCTCCTCCTAAATGCTAGAAGTTCCTTAAACATCATGGTGTCTCCTCCTAAATGCTAGAAGTTCCTTAAACACCATGGTGTCTCATTCTAAACCCTAGAACCTCCTTAAACATCATGGTGTCTCCTCCGGGACCCTAGAACCTCCTTAAACATCATGGTGTCTCCTCCTAAATGCTAGAAGTTCCTTAAACATCATGGTGTCTCCTCCTAAATGCTAGAAGTTCCTTAAACATCATGGTGTCTCCTCCTAAATGAAAGAAGTTCCTTAAACATCATGGTGTCTCCTCCTAAATGCTAGAAGTTCCTTAAACATCAAGGTGTCTCCTTCTAAACCCTAGAACCTCCTAAAGGTTGGTTTATGCTTGACGCGTCCACGAAGTCCGCACAGCAAAATTGCGTCATTTTAACAACCACGCCCTTCCACCGCGCCTCTGCACGGCCCAAAATTTCCACATCGCGCACCTAGAAAATTTTTTAACCACGTGGATGGTCGGACGCGGAAAAACATGGCGGACCGGCAAGAACTAGTATGGCAGAGGTTGGTAAATACAGACATTTGTATGATTCAGCTCTCAGAGATCACCGTGATCAACATGTTGTTAATAATTCTTGGAGAGAAATAGCTCGCACTGTCGGAAAAGACGAGGACGCTGTTAAAAAATGCTGGAATGCCATGTTGTAAACAGTAATTTCTACTTCTACCATGGTGTAGTGTTGGATGCATGCTGTAGAGCTCCATGCTGCCCCCTACAGTTTGGGAGAATATTGGCTCACCGCAGAGACAAGCCGCATGAACCATAAACGCTGCGAGTTGTGAAGCGCGTTCCATCCGCGAGCCGTATCACGAAGCGGAAAGTGAATGCGTCAAGCATAAAACAAGCTTTAAACACCATGGTGTCTCCTCCAAAACTCCAGAACCTCCTTAAACATCATAGTGTCTCCTCCAAGACTCCAGAACCTCCTTAAACATCATGGTGTCTCCTCCTAAACCCTAGAAACACCTTAAACATGGTGTCTCCACCAGGATCCTAGAACCTCCTTAAACATCAAGGTGTCTCCTCCAGGACCCCAGAACCTCCTTAAACATCATGGTGTCTCCTCCAGAACCTCCTTTAACGTCATGGTGTCTCCTCCAGGACCCTAGAACCTCCTTTAACGTCATGGTGTCTCCTCCCCTTGGACCCTAGAACCTCCTTAAACATCAAGGTGTCTCCTCCAGGACCCCAGAACCTCCTTTAACGTCATGGTGTCTCCTCCAGGACCCTAGAACCTCCTTAAACATCAAGGTGTCTCCTCCAGAACCTCCTTTAACGTCATGGTGTCTCCTCCAGAACCTCCTTTAACGTCATGGTGTCTCCTCCAGGACCCTAGAACCTCCTTAAACATCAAGGTGTTTCCTCCAGAACCTCCTTAAACATCAAGGTGTCTCCTCCAGAACCTCCTTTAACGTCATGGTGTCTCCTCCAGGACCCTAGAACCTCCTTAAACATCAAGGTGTCTCCTCCAGAACCTCCTTAAACATCAAGGTGTCTCCTCCAGAACCTCCTTTAACGTCATGGTGTCTCCTCCAGGACCCTAGAACCTCCTTAAACATCAAGGTGTTTCCTCCAGAACCTCCTTAAACATCAAGGTGTCTCCTCCAGAACCTCCTTTAACGTCATGGTGTCTCCTCCTAAACCCTACAACCTCTTTTACAGCTTGGGAACGTCAGTTAAGACCTTTAAACCTTTTGTAGAACCCTGAAGGTTCTCTAGAACTGCGGTCCTATGAACGTTCTTTAAAACCCCGCTCACTGATCGATGATTACCAATCAGTTAGCCCCTGCCCTGTAGCTAACCTGCTGGTTAGCATGCTAGTAGACACGCCTGACAGAAGACAGGCTGCCAGGTTGATTATCGGTTCCGGGAGACCAGCGGCGGTCCTTGTGGACACCAGCAGTCCCTCTAACTACCGGAGTATCAGCACGTTAGCTATTAGCTTCTGTTGGCATAAAAACACCAGTTAGGCTGTTAGCCTCGGAGCGCCCCGTTCACTCCTCCATTAGCCTAGCATTAGCTCTCGAGCTGACCGCACCGTAGAGAACGCTGCTGACAGGCGCTCGGTGAGCGGGGACAGCCGGCCGAACAGAACCGGAGCCCACGGAGCAGACTCCGGCTGCAGTGAAACGAAGGATGTAGCTCCTTACTGGTTTGATGCGATTCTCTTTTTCCTCTCCAGCTTTCCAGCCAACTTAGAGCGATGTGTTCAACAGCGAACTTCTCCGGCAGATAACGTCTGCTTCATGGGTCTGCCGTGACAAGGTTCTCCGTGGAAACATCCCCGTTGATCGTGGAAGTAAAACAACGAAGGTTGCGCGGAGAAAATCGGTGAAATTTTAAAGTTGAAGTGGTCGCACCGTCATGGAGGCCATGTTTGGAATTGACCGAATCACCGCCTGTCAGCACCAGCAGGAGAAGTAGATCCCTGAAAACCTCTACTTCCGCTTCACCGGACCGAGCAGACCCGGTACACCCCGGCTCACACACAGCGATAGAAGTCTAGCTCAGCACGGCTGTGTCGGTTAACTGACCGATCTGGTTTGTTTGTGTTGTGGTGTGTATGACCCCGCGGAGGGATATGCTGAAGGGCTGCTCCTGTGAAGCAGCCTCTGTCATCAGACCTGAAAAGCCCAAACTGGATCAGAACTGCAGGGATCTGGACTGCAGCACAGAGCTGGAAAACCCGGAGTGAGAGGATCTGGACTGTGGACGGTGCTGATCAGCAGGGGACAGAGAACAGTTCTCACCTGTCGGAATAAGGTGAGATTTGGTTCCACAGATGGAAACACGCGTTATCACAGCTGAGGACAGATAGCAGTAGAGTACAGAAGAAACCAAGAATTCAAATAAAACGAGACAAACACTAGATTCAACAGTAGTTCCTATGTAGACACGAACAGTAGCAGTTAGAAAGAGGGTTGTAAAACTATGTGGAATCATTGGTAAATGACCTGCCTTCTAACCCCCCAAGGAGCTTCACAACACAATCACTCATTCACACGTCGGTGGGGATGAGCTACAACGTGGTCACAGCTGCCCTGGGGCACACCAGGGGCACACCGACTGAAGCAAGGCCTGCCCAACACTGGCAACCATTTATTAGTGGATGAGGAAGATGTAGACGACTGGTACCTTCAGTACTGGTGTTCAACAACCAGCTTCCACGTTAAGTTCAAGTGTGTGCACGTGACCCAAATCTGCCCTGCCAGTCGGTCTGGGATCTGTGTGTAAGGACTGTTGGTAAAGGCGGGCCCCGGACTAGAGAGGAACCTGAAACCCGGGCTGGTCTCAGTAGAACCCTGTAGTCCATCTGTTCCACACCCAGGGACTCCATGAAGAACAGTGCATGACCTCTAGACTCTGTTCTGGGTTCCCCAGAACACCTGGACCCCATCAGAACCAGCTCTAAAACTGAACACAGAACCGTGATCCAAACCAGAAGATGGAAACAATAAGACGTGGTTCTGATCTGAGGATTTTATTGAAACAACTGGGTCAGAAATGTTTTCACCGAAACCAGAAACTCAGAGGAACTCCACCCCCCCATCCGTCACTTTGAAGAAGCTGGTTCTGGACCCCCTGGTCCCAGTCCAGGAAGAGGAGGAGGTGTGGATGGAGAAGACTGGATGCCTCATCTGTTCGGTGTCGGCTTCTCGTTTGGAGCACAGCAGTCGGTGTGTGACCAGGCACTGCCAGGGGCGACAGAGATAAGGGCGGTCCATTTCTACACAGGAGGAGGAGCCACTGGAACTCCTCCTGATGGTTCGGCAGGAAGCAAAGATGGTGATTCTGTAATCCCTGAGGAGCAACAACAAAGCAGAACATCAGCTGATCCAGTTCTACATCAGAACCTCATCACTGAACAGCAGAACCCCACGGAGAGTTCTGACTGAAGATTAACTTAGAACCTGATCACAGACCGGGTAGAAACCACAGAGCCGTAGCTTTACGGGTTAGCACGGCTAATTATTATTCTACCGAAGTATAATTACTGTAGTAGTGTTATAGTACCACAGCAAACATACTGTTATCGTCGTTGTAGTACATACTAAGTATGTTATTGCTTTAACATAGTAAACTTACTGTTATCGTCGTTGTAGTACATACTAAGCATGTTACTACTTTAACGTAGTAAACTTACTGTTATCGTCGTTGTAGTACATACTAAGCGTGTTATTACTTTAACGTAGTAAACTTACTGTTATCGTCGTTGTAGTACATACTAAGAGTGTTATTACTTTAACGTAGTAAACTTACTGTTATCGTCGTTGTAGTACATACTAAGTGTGTTATTACTTTAACGTAGTAAACTTACTGTTATCGTCGTTGTAGTACATACTAAGTGTGTTATTGCTTTAACGTAGTAAACTTACTGTTATCGTCGTTGTAGTACATACTAAGTGTGTTATTACTTTAACGTAGTAAACTTACTGTTATCGTCGTTGTAGTACATACTAAGTGTGTTATTACTTTAACGTAGTAAACTTACTGTTATCGTCGTTGTAGTACATACTAAGTGTGTTATTACTTTAACGTAGTAAACTTACTGTTATCGTCGTTGTAGTACATACTAAGTGTGTTATTACTTTAACGTAGTAAACTTACTGTTATCGTCGTTGTAGTACATACTAAGTGTGTTATTACTTTAACGTAGTAAACTTACTGTTATCGTCGTTGTAGTACATACTAAGTGTGTAATTACTTTAACGTAGTAAACTTACTGTTATCGTCGTTGTAGTACATACTAAGTGTGTAATTACTTTAACGTAGTAAACTTACTGTTATCGTCGTTGTAGTACATACTAAGTGTGTTATTGCTTTAACGTAGTAAACTTACTGTTATCGTCGTTGTAGTACATACTAAGTGTGTTATTGCTTTAACGTAGTAAACTTACTGTTATCGTCGTTGTAGTACATACTAAGTGTGTTATTACTTTAACGTAGTAAACTTACTGTTATCGTCGTTGTAGTACATACTAAGTGTGTTATTGCTTTAACGTAGTAAACTTACTGTTATCGTCGTTGTAGTACATACTAAGTATGTTATTGCTTTAACGTAGTAAACTTACTGTTATCGTCGTTGTAGTACATACTAAGTATGTTATTGCTTTAACGTAGTAAACTTACTGTTATCGTCGTTGTAGTACATACTAAGTATGTTACTACTTTAACGTAGTAAACTTACTGTTATCGTCGTTGTAGTACATACTAAGTGTGTTACTGCTTTAACGTAGTAAACTTACTGTTATCGTCGTTGTAGTACATACTAAGTGTGTTACTGCTTTAACGTAGTAAACTTACTGTTATCGTCGTTGTAGTACATACTAAGTATGTTATTGCTTTAACGTAGTAAACTTACTGTTATCGTCGTTGTAGTACATACTAAGTCTGTTATTGCTTTAACGTAGTAAACTTACTGTTATCGTCGTTGTAGTACATACTAAGTGTGTTATTGCTTTAACGTAGTAAACTTACTGTTATCGTCGTTGTAGTACATACTAAGTGTGTTATTGCTTTAACGTAGTAAACTTACTGTTATCGTCGTTGTAGTACATACTAAGTGTGTTATTACTTTAACGTAGTAAACTTACTGTTATCGTCGTTGTAGTACATACTAAGTGTGTTATTACTTTAACGTAGTAAACTTACTGTTATCGTCGTTGTAGTACATACTAAGTGTGTTATTACTTTAACGTAGTAAACTTACTGTTATCGTCGTTGTAGTACATACTAAGTGTGTTATTACTTTAACGTAGTAAACTTACTGTTATCGTCGTTGTAGTACATACTAAGTGTGTTATTACTTTAACGTAGTAAACTTACTGTTATCGTCGTTGTAGTACATACTAAGTGTGTTATTACTTTAACGTAGTAAACTTACTGTTATCGTCGTTGTAGTACATACTAAGTGTGTTATTGCTTTAACGTAGTAAACTTACTGTTATCGTCGTTGTAGTACATACTAAGTGTGTTATTACTTTAACGTAGTAAACTTACTGTTATCGTCGTTGTAGTACATACTAAGTGTGTTATTACTTTAACGTAGTAAACTTACTGTTATCGTCGTTGTAGTACATACTAAGTATGTTATTACTTTAACGTAGTAAACTTACTGTTATCGTCGTTGTAGTACATACTAAGTGTGTTATTACTTTAACGTAGTAAACTTACTGTTATCGTCGTTGTAGTACATACTAAGTGTGTTATTGCTTTAACGTAGTAAACTTACTGTTATCGTCGTTGTAGTACATACTAAGTGTGTTATTGCTTTAACGTAGTAAACTTACTGTTATCGTCGTTGTAGTACATACTAAGTGTGTTATTACTTTAACGTAGTAAACTTACTGTTATCGTCGTTGTAGTACATACTAAGTGTGTTATTGCTTTAACGTAGTAAACTTACTGTTATCGTCGTTGTAGTACATACTAAGTGTGTTACTGCTTTAACGTAGTAAACTTACTGTTATCGTCGTTGTAGTACATACTAAGTATGTTATTGCTTTAACGTAGTAAACTTACTGTTATCGTCGTTGTAGTACATACTAAGTGTGTTATTACTTTAACGTAGTAAACTTACTGTTATCGTCGTTGTAGTACATACTAAGCATGTTACTACTTTAACGTAGTAAACTTACTGTTATCGTCGTTGTAGTACATACTAAGTGTGTTATTGCTTTAACGTAGTAAACTTACTGTTATCGTCGTTGTAGTACATACTAAGTGTGTTATTACTTTAACGTAGTAAACTTACTGTTATCGTCGTTGTAGTACATACTAAGTGTGTTATTGCTTTAACGTAGTAAACTTACTGTTATCGTCGTTGTAGTACATACTAAGTGTGTTATTACTTTAACGTAGTAAACTTACTGTTATCGTCGTTGTAGTACATACTAAGTGTGTTATTACTTTAACGTAGTAAACTTACTGTTATCGTCGTTGTAGTACATACTAAGTATGTTATTACTTTAACGTAGTAAACTTACTGTTATCGTCGTTGTAGTACATACTAAGTATGTTATTACTTTAACGTAGTAAACTTACTGTTATCGTCGTTGTAGTACATACTAAGTATGTTATTACTTTAACGTAGTAAACTTACTGTTATCGTCGTTGTAGTACATACTAAGTATGTTATTACTTTAACGTAGTAAACTTACTGTTATCGTCGTTGTAGTACATACTAAGTATGTTATTACTTTAACGTAGCATAATTAGGATTATTATCGCTATCCAATCAACAATTATTTAACTAAATATTTTGTATATTGCCATTGTCCTGAGCCGAGACCAGGTGGGACATGGTGGGAATAAACTCGTTGTCATGGTAACACGAGCCTGGACCACTCTAGGGCCTACGGAACCTGCTTCCTGAGATCCACCTGAGCAGTCGACCCAGCAGCTCTGAACACTTGCTGAGCTTCTCCTCCCGTTTGCTAAGGCTGGCTCCGCCCTCACTGCTGTCAGACCAATAAAACGCAGAGATGCTGTCAATGAGGAGGAGTGCCACGCTTGGCCGTGAAGATAAGGTGGTCTCCAGGAAGTGAAGTGTGAGCAGAAGCTGGGAGGAGGAGGAGCAGTGGACGACGAGGAGGCGAGAAAGACAGGAACGCAGAACCGCCTCATCTGATCCAGCAGAGGTGGAGCAAGTGGAAAGACCTGGACACAGGTAGAACTTCAGCACGGTTCTGGACCAGGACTCAGATCTGAATCTGGATCCAGCTGTCTGACACCTGTGAGTGTTACCTGAGCTCAGTTTGCTATCCAGGATGCTGACAAGTCTTGACATGTCAAGACTGTAATCCGTGTCCACAAACACAACGTCCACCTCCAGACCACCGGTCTCCTTGGGCAGCACACAGCGACACAGCAGGTGGTAGAGCAGCTCTGTCTTACCTGGAAATAACATTCAGTCTCAGCCAGAGGTCACAGGTGAGTCTGAGCAGGTCACCTGGTGGGCTGCTGGAGACGTCACCTGTCCCCTCCGCTCCGTACACCTCCACCACCTCACCTGTCAGGTTAAACACAAACATTCCAGTCAGTGATACCTGGTCAGATAGCAGCATTTATTAGCTGGTAGGGAGTGGGCGTGGCTATTAACCGTGGTCAGGTCCTCCATTATCAGGGAACACACGAGGTTCAATGTCCTTCAGACAGCGCCGAGCGTCCAGACGAGCAAACAGCTGCAGAGACACATGGACATGGACAAAGTGTCCACAGGTTATCCAGATAACACAAACATCTTGTTATCCTTGGAGCCTGGTCCCAGATCACAGGTGTATGGTGGAGCCTGATCATCAAGAGCTTCATGTGTGAGGAGGAGGATCCGAACATCAGCTAAGATGAGATCCTAACAGAATAAACCCGTCAGTGATGAAGGACTTGCTGCCTCCTGCAGACGGCTGGGAGTCCCTGAACACAGGTGCAGAGGGACGTTTTCCGTCCTCCATGCTTAAGACATCACGTTGACATTCTGCACGGGACAAAACTTCTTTGTGTGTGTGTGTGTGTGTGTGTGTGTGTGTGTGTGTGTGTGTGTGTGTGTGTGTGTGTGTGTGTGTGTGTACATTAAACGACTCATGACTGGACTGACGGTCATACTGGGACCCTGAGTCACAGTCTTGTAGACGGTAGATGGTGTGAGAGGAGTAAAGGAAACTATGTCAAACGTGAAAACGCCACTTTGAATAGGGGCGGGGCTTACATTTCACCTTTCCATTACCTATAATCCAGCTTTGGATCTCATTCCTACACAGCTTGAGTCTGGGTCGCACCCTCCTGCATCTAATCACAACTACTGCCACACAATGGAGGCTGTACTCATTATAGGTGGGGAGGGGGAGTATTCGGAGGTAGTTTCTGCTCGTTAGGCAACAACAGAGAGCTACAGCTGATAAGCTGGACTTTCCCATTTTCCAGTCAGAGTAAACAAAGCTCCCCGGATGAGAAGCTGCCATCTTCTGAACCCTTTCGGACTTTACTTGGCCAGCGCTTAGGGTTCTACAACCCCCCAGGGCGCTTCACAATCGGTCACACCCTGGTGGGGATGAGCCATGGTGGAGCCACAGCTGCCCTGGGGCGGGCTGTCCCTCCGACCACCACCAGCAGGCAAGGTGGGTTAAATGTTTTGCCCAAGGACACAACGGCAGCTGTCTCTGGTCGGAGCAACCTTCCGATTATTGGACATTACAGCCTGGGCTGCTGAACTGTTCCGGTGATGGCGAGGACAAAGCTCGCTAGTTTCACACAAACCCGCATAACCCGCCAGCTTCAGACTCACCTGAGTTCCGCTTTCGCTCATTTCATCCTCCTCTTCCTCAGCTGTGGCGCAGATCTGTTTCTTGTCCGGTTTTCCGCTGCGCTAAACGACCCGTTATCGGTTTGTTGAAAACAGTTTTACTGACGCAGTAACCGTTTTCCCGCGCACCGGTGCATCATTTCCGACAAAGCTTTTCACAATAAGAGTATTAGAAAGGAAGTTGTGAATGGTCTTCAGAATAAAACTACTTTGATAATAAAGAAATAAATCTCAGCTAGTGAGTTCTAGAATGAAAGACTACATTTAGTTTTTAAATGACAAAACTGATTTCCCTCTTTCAGTTTCTCTATCTATCTATCTATCTATCTATCTATCTATCTATCTATCTATCTATCTATCTATCTATCTATCTATCTATCTATCTATCTATCTATATACATACATATATAGATATATATGTATGTATATATGTATATTTGTATAGATAGATAGATAGATAGATATTAGTATAGTAGTGTATTTACCCTTTAATCACACACACACACACACACACACACACACACACACACACACACACACACACGCACAAGTGTGTGTGTGTGTGTGTGCCTGCTCTGTCTTCTCCATCCCCAGTGAGTCGTGGAGGATGGCTGCTTATACTGAGCCAGGATTCTCTGGAGGTGTCTTCCTGTTAAAAGGGAGTTTTCCTCTCCACTGTCGCTGCATGCCTTCTGAGGATTGCTGTAAAGACTCTGACACTAGTCAGTGACTCGATGCAAGCTGCTGGGTTCCTTATGTAGGAAACTTGTTACTGATTGGCTTAATGACCTGACCTGTGATGGACTGTGTGAAGGTCCTTGAGACGACTCTGGTCCTGATGTGGAGCTACAGAAATAAACTGAATTAAATTGAACTTTATTGTTCCCACAGTGGGGAACTTTCCTCGTTAAGGCACATATGCTTAGAGAAAAGGAACAAACACACATAATTAAGATAATTTCTTATTATTGAAACATTTGTGCAGAACTAGAACAGCAGACAGCAGAGACAGGACCACCAGGCTACAGCCGAGCCCGGATGTAGGGAGGGGCAATGCCCCCCCCCCAACGCGATGACATGTAGAAATACCAAATTTCAAAAGACTTGATGAAAAAGGGTCAGAGTGCTCTCCTCTCGCTCTCCCTCATTCAAAGTAGCTGCTAATTGGTAGATGCATAGGGAGTTCAATGGGTGGAAGAAACCCGACCATTATTCTCAGTTATTTGTTCAGACTCCAGCTCATCATTAACCAGTTTAAAGTACAGCCATTCAGAAAGCAGACCAGACATACTCCTAGAGATTCAGCTGACACTTTATAGAATAAACATGATGGGACTTACAGTACATTTTTATGGATTCCAGCTCATTGTGGAATCAGTGGAAATGAAGAAGTTGATATGATGGCTAAGGAAGCTATACCTGTATGTATTTTTTTTTCTTTCTTTCCCCTGTTTGATTTTGTTTTATGAGCGCTGTTCCAGACCACACTCCACACTAGTAGGTGGCGGTAACGCACCATTCGTTGTTTGCCAACCGCCAATAAAACACCAGAAGAAGAAGAGGCACTAGGGAGGGTGTGGCTAGCCACTGCACTTGGTTCCCTGTCGTATCGCTCGCGAGTCTAGTTCATTAGTAGCGGTTAGCCTCTCCCGTAGCTGTTAGTGTCATGTACTGATATTTGATTTGTGACTATGTCTTAAGGGGAGGACTTTTGAACCGGATGTAAATGAGACCGGAAGTGGGGGGGGGGCATAAAGTGGCCTGGAAGAAAGAACACATGAAGGTTGTGTAATAAAGGATCCAAGAAAGACCGTGCTTCATGTCCTGATTTAATTCAGAGTGCTCCATCTAATTAAGTAGTAAGGTGGACACACAACAATGGCGACGAGGATGACACGAACAAGATTTTGTTTTTGGGAGAAGTAGACCCGGCGGCGGCACGAGGTTAGCGAAAACTTGTGGGCTAACATGGAAAAGTCAGGTGTTCAACCGTTCTCCTGCTACACTGATCCAGCAACGCTCGGACCGAGATGGACGCGGTGGTTAACATCCTTCGAGTTGTTTGCTGATGGGAAAGGTCTTATTTTGGCTGATGATGCTACGGACGCTGTCAAACAGCGGAGACGCGCTCTTCTACTGCACTTGGCCGGACAGGACGTACAGGACGTCTTCTCCACTCTACCTCGGACGGGAGGAGCGGCGGATTACGCCGCTGCGGTGACTGCACTTAACACTTATTTTGTTCCTCAGGTGAATGCGGCATATGCACGCCAAACTTTTCACAAATTATCCCAAACACCAGGAGAAACTGTGCAACAATTTTGCACACGTTTGAGGCGAGCTGCAAAAGACTGCGACTTTCAAGGTGACAATGATAACCAGATAAGGGACGCTATCCTGAATAAATGCACTTCTGAATATGTACGGAGAAAGCTGCTGGAGGAAGGTCCAGGCCTAACGCTGACTCGCGCGTTGGAGGTGGCTTCTCACTGCGAACGAGTGGAGGAGCAAATGGCGGCGATGAGCGGTACCGGGGAAAGGAAAGGAGAGAACACGGTCAGCCGGATTTTTACAGCAAAAAAAGAGAAGAACCACAGACCAAGAGGACAAATGAAAGATGATGCCAAGACAGACAGGCAGTGTTACAGGTGTGGTTATACTGACCACAGGGGCAAAGATCCCAAATGCCCAGCACGAGGACAAACATGCCACAAGTGTAATGGTAAGGACCACTTTTCGAAGATGTGTCGTACAAAGAGACAAAGGAAACAAAATGTGAATGCTGTTGAACAGGATGATTATGCATTTGTTGTAAATGATGATAATTCACCGGAGAAACTTACCTTTTCTGTTGGGGGAATAGAGTTGGAAATGTTAGTCGACTCGGGAGCTACAAGTAATGTGATGGGAGAAAACATATGGGAAAAGCTAAAAGCTAAAAAGATAAAGTGTCATTCATATGTACCCAAAGAGCAGAGGAATTTATATGCATATTCATCAGCACAGGCACTCTCGGTTAAAGGTGCATTCAGATGTGAAATCAAGATTGGTGACAGAACTGAAGAGGCTGAATTCATTGTGATTAGAGGTAATGGTGAACCACTCTTGGGGAAAAAGACTGCCATAAAGTTAGGAGTGTTGAAAATAGGTGAAAATGTGGCGGCTGTCACAGATTTAAAACATACTCTTAAAGAAAAGTATCCAAAAGTGTTCAAAGGAGTAGGGAAACTAAACACCAAACAGATCAGCCTGTACATTGATCCAAACGTGAAACCAGTAGCACAGCCACTGAGACGCATACCTTATCATTTGAGGGATGCAGTGGAGAAAAAGATCAATGAACTGATTGACATGGACATCATAGAACGTGTGGAAGGACCTACACCTTGGGTAAACCCTGTAGTGGTGCTTCCAAAGAAAGGTGACAAAGATATCAGAATGTGCTTAGACATGAGAAAAGCAAATGAGGCAATAATCAGGGAAAGATACCCCATACCCACGGTGGATGAAATCTTGCAAGGACTAAACGGATCTGCAATCTTCAGCAAACTCGATCTCAAGTGGGGATATCATCAACTAGAGCTTACCCCGGAGTCAAGAGAGATAACTACATTTGCAGTGCATAACGGGGTATACCGATACAAAAGGCTGATATTTGGAGTCTCATCAGCTAGTGAGCAATATCAGCATGAGATCGCCAATGCACTAGCTGGTATTGAAGGAGTTGAGAACATTTCAGATGATGTAATCATACATGCACCAGACCAGGAAGCCCATGACAAGCGCCTGCATGCTGTGATGAAGAGACTCTCTGACTGTGGCCTGACACTAAACGCAGAGAAATGTCAGTTCAACATGGACAGACTTGTGTTCATGGGAATACTGCTTACGCAGAAAGGCATCGGCCCAACTGAAGAAAGAGTGAGAGCTGTGGTGGAAGCCCGAGAACCAAAGAATGCTACTGAGGTGAGAAGCTTTCTTGGACTGGTCGGTTTCAGTAGTAGGTTCATACCACAGTTTGCTACACTCTCTGAGCCGCTTAGACGTTTAACTCGAAAGGAAGTGATGTTTACATTCGGGCCAGAACAAAAGCAAGTGTTCGAAAGACTAAAGGCTGAGTTAGCTAGAGCAGGTACTCTAGCATATTTTGACAAAGAAGCCCCAACTCGTGTCATAGCAGATGCAAGCCCTGTAGGCCTAGGCGCAGTGTTAATACAAACACAGAATGGAGAAGAAGTACCAGTGTGCTATGTAAGTCGGAGTCTAACAGACTGTGAGCGAAGATACTCTCAAACAGAGAAAGAAGCTCTAGCACTGGTATGGGCATGTGAGAGACTACATCCGTATGTATATGGCAGGAAGTTTGACCTCATCACAGACCACAAGCCCTTAGAGGTCATATACAGTCCGAGATCTAAACCTTGTGCACGCATAGAAAGATGGGTTCTACGACTGCAGCCATATGATTATAAAGTAGTACACATTGCGGGAAAACAAAACATTGCGGATTCATTGTCAAGACTGCTCTCTGATACCACGTCAAAAGAGGTACACAAGCATGAATCTGAGGAATATGTGAGATTTGTGGCAGTTAATGCTACTCCAAAAGCACTCACAACAAGAGAGGTTGAAGAAGTCTCTGCTACAGACTCAGAATTAACAGAAGTGCGAAGAGCTATTGACAATGGACACTTTGAAAAATGCAAAGCATACGCGCCCATTGCAAATGAACTCTGTGTCATTGGCTACATAGTCTTGCGGGGAACTCGCATTATATTGCCAGAAAACCTCAGAGCTCAAGCGCTGTCACTAGCTCATGAAGGACATTTAGGAATCGTTGGAACCAAGCAGCATCTCAGAACAAAAGTTTGGTGGCCAGGGATGGACAAAGCTGTAGAAAAATTCTGTAAAGCTTGTCACGGATGTCAAATAGTAGCCAGACCGGATCCACCGGAGCCACTGAGAAATACACTTTTACCGGATGGGCCCTGGCGAGATGTGGCGGTAGACTTACTGGGACCGCTACCTTCAAACCACTCGATACTCGTACTGGTAGATTACTACAGTCGATATTATGAGTATGAGGTGATGTCATCTACAACTGCTGAAAAGGTCATTGACTCTATTGACTGTATATTTAGCAGACATGGGCTACCAGTTACCATCAAATCTGATAACGGCCCACAGTTCAAATCTGAGCTGTTCGGGGAATATTGTGAGACTAATGGAATTAAACATATAAGAACTACACCAAAATGGGCTCAAGCAAATGGGGAAGTGGAACGCCAAAATGCATCACTGATGAAAAGAATCAGGATCGCACAAGCGGCAGGTCTTGACTGGAAGCGAGAGTTAAGAAAATATGTAACAGTGTATCGCAGCATTGAACATCCAACCACGGGCAAAAGCCCAGCAGAACTCCTGTTCAACCGCAAAATGAGGGGAAAGTTACCGAACATCAGTGAGGCGAAAACAGCGGAGTTGGACGTGCGTGATAGAGATGCGGAACAGAAAGGAAAATCAAAGATTTATGCCGATGAACGACGAGGGGCAGAGTATTCAAACGTTGACACGGGAGACACCGTGCTGGTTCAACAAGACAAAGTGGACAAGTTTACAACACCATTCAATACAACACCACACAAAGTTGTAAGCAGAACTGGAAACCAAGTCACTATTGAATCACCAACCGGAGCTCGTTATCAACGGAATACGACACACGTGAAGAAATATGAGACAAATGGGACCCGAGAAGGACACCACGAACAAAACACTATACCTAAAAAGGAAGAAGGTGAGACACCCACAACAACTGACACCTTCACTCCAACACAAGAGGGCCCACAGGGACCAGAGAGATCAAGGAGATCGCAGAGGATTAAACAGATACCTGAGAGGTTTCGTGATTTTGTGGTGAAATAAATCATAATAGGTTAAGTTGAAGAGGTAACTTTAAGAGGGTTAAGGTTCAAGTTGCCAGTTTATATGTGTATGTGGACATGTAAATGAGGGGCGAGACAGTTAGAAAATATAAGTGTTAGAAAGTAAGATAAGAAAGAATGTTCAAAGAAAAAAAAAAAAAAAAAAAAAAAAAAAAAAAGAAAGGTTATTAAGACCAAAGTTTGAATCTAAGAAAAAGGGGGATGTCATGTACTGATATTTGATTTGTGACTATGTCTTAAGGGGAGGACTTTTGAACCGGATGTAAATGAGACCGGAAGTGGGGGGGGGGGGCATAAAGTGGCCTGGAAGAAAGAACACATGAAGGTTGTGTAATAAAGGATCCAAGAAAGACCGTGCTTCATGTCCTGATTTAATTCAGAGTGCTCCATCTAATTAAGTAGTAAGGTGGACACACAACAGTTAGCCTCTGTGTTTACTCTGGTTCCGTTCTTTCTGCCGAACCTTGGACTGAGTCCTGGGTGTAAATGGCCGGCGTCGCCCAGAGAAGTGCTGCTGTGTGGCGCTTCATCAAACTTAGAAGGTAATGTTTGGAGCTTCTCGTTAGCTAGCTGCTGGAACGTGTGTTGTGTCGATATGAGTTCCCCCGTCGAGATCTGTCTCTTTTCCAGCCAGCTGCGGATTGGAACCATCCACTCACAATAACAACCATCATTCCAACCAAAACCCCACTGTCACCAAAGTTATGCTATGCATATTTATATTTATGAAATGACTGTTTAACACGGCTTTGTGTTTGCTTAGGGCTAGGGTCAGACTCGCAGTTGGGGGGGAGACAGACGGGGGAACTCATATCGACACAACACCTGTTAAGAACGTGTTTGGTGTTTTTGCAGTCGGG